ATTTCGAACTCACTCCGCACGAAGATTTTATCTTTATTTTATTTTGAGAATGATTCCCATAATGGTATAGGAATGATTCCTATAATATTCTAGGAATCCTTCCCATACCATTATAGGAATAGTTCCTATAATCATATAGGAATGATTACTATATCATTATGGGAATATTTCCCATAATATTATGGGAATGGTTCCTATAATTGTAAAGGAATCATTCCTATAATTATAGAAACCATTCCTATACCATTATGGGAACCATTCCCACCATTATGGGAAATTTTCTCATAATTTTGGAAAAATTTCCTATAATTATGGGAACAGTTTCTATAATTACCTGGGAACTGTTCCCATAAAATTATGGGAATAGTTCCCATATTTTTCTTTCCGTGAACCCTTTTTCGAGCATAATTAATTTTACTTGATAAACATTCTTTTTAAAGCTTCATAACGACGGCATATTATAGTAACATTAATAATTCGAAGATAAAAAGTATTTTTTTATCTTGATGAATTTGATGTGTATGGGTCAATTATTTATGAAATTTAAAAAATATATATTTTTCAACAAAATTTCACACACATACACACAAAACTGTGTGACTGACGAATATCATCGTAAAAATCGACAGAATAGCGTCTTAAGACCTCAAAACGGGAAGATATGGATGAAAATTTGGTTTTCGAAAATCCGAGTGGAAACAATAACTTTCTAATATTTGAAAATAATTGACATTTATAGTAAGAATTGATAGTGGAATATAAGGTAATTTAGGGTCTAAACATACATGAGGATATAGAAGTTAAAACTTATTTAAAGAGGTTTAAGGGGCAATTTTTAGAAATCCGATAATCTATCGCATTCAAGTTCTTACACATTGATCATAATTTTCGGTGATAGTAAACTTGAATTCGAAAAAACGGCACTTGTTGGCTAGACTATTTAGAGTGAATCGAAAATATTTTTTACACAACACAATAAGAAAAAGCCATTCGGCACCCGAAATGAGAGTAGATTTCTCAATATTACTCAGTGCTTGCAGAATCGTAAAAACAAATGCAACAGTAAAATTTTATCATATAGTGATAGACATATATGTAAGTAATTTTCAGTCTTAGAGAATGAAATGAGATGAATATTGGATGTTATTTTATGAGCTTTCAAATGAAATTTACAGCAATTTGATCAGCTATAGCTTAGAAAAGTTATTTCAAGAAGAATCCCCAGAAATGTGATTTTTTACAAGTTTTGAAAATTTTGAATGGCTGTAATTTCGAAACTAATCAACTAATTCGGCTCATCTTCGAACTTGACCTTGTACACATATACATATTTATACACTTTTAAAACATGAATTTTCTTAATTAGCTTGATGAGCTGAATCAGAAAATAGGAAAATTTTTCATAAGTTCCGCAATGAAGACAAATACAATAAATTTATATGAAAACGACTAAAAATTTATTGTATTTCTAAAATGAGTATGAAGACAGCATACACTCATAAATGATTCATTCGTAAATATTGGTAGTCAATATTTGTAAACGTTGATACTTAATATTCAAAAACTAAAAAAAAGCTACATAAATCATTATTGATAATCTTTTTACGCGAACTTATGAATATTTATTTTTTTAATATATATGTTTTACTAATCAGTATCAAACATGATAGATTCTACGGGTTAATTTTATCGACGTTATTACATGTATTGAGATCAAACGCAAGATAATTTTTATTTTTACTGATTATGCACTGGAAATTAGCTTTATCACAGGCATAACCTAACTCCAATTGTATGT